TTTTTTTTTTTTTTTTTTTTTTGATGTTAAAAATATTGGTGTGATTGATGAGCTATCTTTTTTTACGGTTTGTTTCTTTCGCATGAAAGTGTTATTCCATGATAGTATACAGTAAGTTGATCTTTTCTTGTCAATAATGATTTCTGGTCATTTCGTGGATTAATCAGTGTCTTCCTTCTCAGGTTAGAGTGGAGGTTTAGAACTGAAGAGGTTTTCTAGATGGTTTTCCAGTTTGGTTTTTGGTAGGAAGTTTTTTGCTGGCCAGGATGAGTGAGAATTTGCCTTCGAAATTGATAAGAAGTGTAAATAAATTAAATTTAGAGATGGGCTGTACACAGAAGATTGTGTAGTAGAGATTAATTAATTATTCTCGCTCTGTATTGTCCTTATAGCAGGGAAAAACTTCAATTTTTGGTTGAAGCTCTTCTTTTGTAGAATTCGCCAAAGAACCAATATTTGTTGCAAGAAATACTGCTTATTGCTAAGAGGATTAAAACTTTTCCGCTTCTACACTGCATCAAGGAATGGAAGTTTTAGATTGGAGAAGTTTAAATCGAAGTGTATTTTCTAATAAGTCATTCCTTATGTAAGAAAGAATATCACTAAATTTTGAAAAAGTTACGATCTGAAGAAAAGGGTGGGGAAAAGTTTGTGTTTTATCGTAATGTTGTTCGACCTTTTTATTCTCAAATTACGCCTACATTGTTCATCTGAATTTAGAGCTACGGGTCCAGATTTTGGCTTAATGCATGAGTTTTTTCCGTCTCGGTCAAGAAATGAACTGAAAAGTAAGTTCAATAGAGAAGAAAGAACTAATTGGGATCGTCTTAAGCATGTTCGTTTTTTCATGCTTTTTTCGAAGAACTTTTGAACTCACCTGTAAATCATATTTATTTATTCGTTTAGACACTTCTTGTTTAAGGGATAATTTAACTTAAAGGGTTGCTTTAGCAGTGGAAAAAAGGAAAAAAATATGCATTTTCTGCTTCAGTTGCTGATTTGAATGAATTTACGACAAGGATGATTTGCAGTCCATGTCAACTCCTACCATGCTTGATGATTCACTATATGATGAGGCAGAGAGACTGCTGAAGAAAATCAAAGAGGAAGCAGTAAAAAAGAAGGAAAAGAGTCAATCTAAAAAGAATCGTACTACAAGTGAAGTAGCTAGCGTGAGTTTTAATTCTGTATGAGTTTGCTGTGTCGTTTGCGGTGACTGTCGGTTTTGGAAGCGACGAGAGAGAAGATTTAAGTCAAAAATTTCGCGTAACAGACAGTATTTTTAAATTTTATGGTGTCATAGGTTTTAATTCCATAATTAGGAAATCTATTTGGTGAAGCTATATTGACCAAATCAGCTTTGTTTTTTTCAGCAGTAAGTTTTTTTCAGTAAGTAATGTCAGTCAAGTTTTTATTGCATTTACATAACAGGAGAATAGAATGGATGCAGTGAAGTATTCCCAAGGTACTTGAAAAAATAGATATTTGCTAAGTTATTAAGGGGACTACAGTGCAACTAAATTACTTTTCATGACATTGTACAGTTGTTGCTTTTTTAGTTATTGCTATTTTTTGAGATCTGTGCAGAGACGGATTTATCAGTAAACTTGCTAAGCTACATAGATGAACGTGATAGTTGGCGCTGCTGTTATCTAACGCACATTTTTTATGTTTCAATGATATAATTCATTTAGTCTGTAATGTTTTAAAGAGAGCTTAAGAGGTAACTGCTTTGAGAATTTTGATAAGTGACATAATTTTTCTGCTTTTTTTTGCTTTTTATGATAACTATCTGCATATTATAATCCTGTTCTCGCAACTTTACTCATTTTTATTATTTATTTACTTATCAAAATTATCTTTGTATATGGCTTATTTTTGTTAGCTGTCTTCCTTATAAGTTTCTTGCTGAATGAACTGTAGTTTAAAGGTTCCGTACGGAAATTTGAATGGTTGTCGTTGCAGGTAGAATGGAACGAGGAAGAAGCTGATTTAATAGCTGAGGCAGAAGAAGAAATTAGTCGGATTGAGAATGAGGGTGGGTGAGTGAAAGTTTTGAAATGTTTTGGTTTGTTTGCTTCTAAGGTTTTAATAATTTTTATTGTATTGAAGTGCTAGAGGTGAATCGGACGAGATTACATCAAAAAAGGCAAGGCGGAGTACAAAAGATTCGAAAAAGATGAAAGAAAGAATTATCGAGGAAGCGTCGAGTGAGGCTAAGAAAATAATGTTAAATAAACAACGTCGTCGATATAACGCAGAAGCTAAAAAGCTTCGCAGTTTGCCTATTGGTAGGTTCTAATCTTCGTGCTGATATTGACTGGACCTTATTCTGTTAAGTATGCTTCTTCCGTCACTGACACAGACGTGGATTCTTCATTCGATTAGTGTAAACTGGATTTTTAAAGTGGTTGTTTGGGCAAATGAATTTTTTTTTAGATGGTTTGAGTGCAGGTTTCCCGAGATTTAAACTTGTCTATGATGATCAAGTGATGGTAGTGTCAATCAGTTTGGACGATGAGCGAGTACCAGTCGTAAAGGCGCCAGTGGGTACAATTGCTCGAGTTCTTCCGGAAGATGATAAACAGCCCGAGAGGGTGCTGTTTCAGTGTCCTGAGGCACCCGGTGTTTCTATAAAACGGTATATTATTAAACACCAAAGTGGACCAGGACAAGCGTCATCTGGGTTTCTTCACTTGTTTGGCACAGCTCGTGAGTGATAAGAAAGTTAAACCTTTGGCGGAGCGGTTTATTTCCTGTTTCCTTTTACTTGCAGGACATGTTTTATTAAAGTTGTAATTTAATAAAAGGATGCAAGTTCTGTTTGTAAATTATTGCCCTTTAGTGAAATAACATTTCCCTAGCAACGACTTACAACGATAAATGTTCTAATCTTTTTGCATTTTCTTTCCCAATCAGATCGACTTCCTCCGTTTGAAGCGAAAGGAATAAGAGAAAACTTGAGGTTACTATTTCGAAATACTGCTGGTTGCAGTAATCTTGGTAATCTGATTCTGAAGGTTAAAGGGGTGGTTGTTTTTTGTAATTTGGCAAAAGGCTTAATGAAATATTCCTGATTCAAAGGTTTGAATAGGATTGTATTCGCTTCGGCAGTTTTATGGTTGAGTGTTACGTAAATATGAATATTTCTTCATCATTATCTGAAGGGGATTTACCACTTAACTGATTTATTCAAGTGCATTTTTGGCTTTAAATTTTCTAGTGATATGATAACTGGAGAGCAGGAGAAGTGTAGCTTCACTGCTGCATGGATAATGGTCACAGTTTTTTGAGCTTTTTGCTCGTGGATGTCTAAAAAGCCAACGTTTTTTATTAATTTCTTTCATTCGGTTCTTGGAATACGGCCATATGCCCACTGACAATGCTGAATGACAGGCAAATGTCTTGCTGGATAGCTGTGTGGGGTTGTTCTTTCTCATGTTACTTGTGACGATTGAATTGAGGCTGTTGGAGGAAATATAATTTGAAAATTTCAACTAGCAAAAAAAAAATTGTTGTTTCATTGCTGTGAAGAAGATTTTTACCCAGTTTTTTTAAAATTAACTTTCTGAAGTTTACTGGCGGTTGACTACAAGATCTGTTGTGTATGTCCGATGTTGATTTGGGCTTTTAAATTGTAGTAGAGTTTCCTAGTAGTTTTTCTTCATTAACTTTATTAGTTTGTTTTAAAAAACTTTACATCAATGAAGTAGGTAAGTTACGAAAAAAGTATTGCAATTTTCAGCGCACTGTTTGTCCAGTGACTGGAAGAAAGTTTGCTTAAGAAATTGTTTTTTTTCTTGCTAGTTGTTAAAGCTAAGCAAGTATAAGTTGAAGTCGACAACCTAGCGGTTTTTTGTCTATGAAGGAAAGAGTTGCGTTGTACTTGATACACCAGAAATTTTTTTATAAATACTCGTCTACAATAGTAATGAACTGTACATCCGTAAGGATACGGAAAAAACAGTTAGAGGAAAAAAATCTTGAGATTTTAAAAATGTCCTTTCTCTACTTTGCAAGAATAATGCCTGGTTTCTTTTGAAAAAAAGTTGGTTTATTTTTTTCAAATTTAATTAATGATTATAAAATCGCTCAACTGTCGATTTTGGCACAAGACGCTAAAATTTCTACTTCATCCTACTTTGAACTACATTGGCAATTTATAGCTGTCTTTAATACACAAGTGATTAGCTGAATTTTCAAATAATAGTTGTCTACGATGAATTGCTTTAGAGTACAAATTTGTTAAAATTTTTATTCTGTCATTTCAAATGACAAAGATTACTGGCAAGAATTAATCATGTTTTTAATTAGGATAATGAATCTTCTATGCAGATCTATTTTAAATTTTAGTGACAGTCGCATAAATATGGTTCTGAAAGATTATAGCTTATTACTGGTTAAATACTTCAGCAACAATCGATTGCAGAGATATGACACGATGGCCAAAAGTTATTTTGCACTGATATCTGTACGACAAAAATGAAAAAGATTACTCAAGTTTTTTTTCCATTGTAATGTAATATTTAAAAGAAAAGGATAATAAAAACTACGCATTTAGGTCTTTTAAAGATTTCCTACGAACTTCTAAAGCACAAAGTGTTTGTGATGTCACAATACCAAACTTTGTTCTGTCAATGCTTATTGGTCCATCTGTAATCACATTGTACGGTTTTGTAATACTGATATTAAGTAACAGTAAAATATGGATAGTTTTAATAGTTTTTCATTTTTTGGACGACTAGTAGTTAATGTCTGACGTAAAAAAGGAGCTACTGAGGAAATGTTGTTATGAATAAACAAACTGAATTTTCACATGTGAATATGTCATCTTTTACAGTGGCTAGCAGATGTTTCAAAGGAGATTTAAGTTAAAGATGTCAGGTGACAGCTTAAATATGTACTGGAGATCAGCGTTTATGCCAACAGTATTGTAAGTTGATGAAAGATTGGTGTCTTATTTTGAGTGACGACTGACTGACTGTATATTTATTGGTGTCTACGTCTTTGTGTGTC